GGTAAAAAGACAAAGAGCTGGGTTTTTCCCTGGGGGACCCTCAAATGGCAGCATCTGTAGGTCTTTTCTCTTGGGCTGGTCAGTTCCCTAAAGAGAAGCTCTGATTTCTGGCCTGGGAGGGTATAAATCTGGTTCTCAGAATTTTGGGAGTCCAGTGGGGGAAGGAGGCCACGGATAAGCAGTTCACCAAAATGGTTCAGTCCCCTTCTTTTCAGTACAGTACCTTATCCACAATCAGCTGTGCAAACCTCTACAGAAAGTCAACGCCTCCATCCCTGCTGGGAAGGAAGGAGAGCAGTTGCTCGCCTGTGTAGGACAGAGGAGGGGCCAGAGGGCGGCCAGTGTTATCAGCTCCCTGTACAAACATTTCATTGGTCCTCACTCCTTACCCCCTTCCGAGGCTTCCAGTGTCTTCAGCTTCTGTGCTTCTGCACTCGGTGACACGTGATCTTGCTTCTTGCTGGCTTCCTCTCCCTGACCCCTCACCCAAGCTGAGCTTCCAGCATTCTCTAGTTTGCTAGTTCCACAATTCTAGTGGACAACTCTCATCTGCTCTTGTTCTTCCTTTTTTTAACTAACAAATTAAAAAAATTTTTACTTGTGGTAAAATACACATAACAAAGGTTACCATCTTAACCATTTAAAATCTATAGTTCAGTAGTGTCAAGTATATTCACACTGTTGTGCAACCAACCCCAGAATTTTTTCATCTTGCCAAACTGAAACTCTTTACCCATTAAACGGCAACTCCTCATTTCCTTCTTCCCTCAGCTGCTGGCAACCACCATTCTACTTTCTGTTTCTATGGATTTTCACTACCCCAGACATCTCATATAAGTGGAATCAGACAGTATTTGTCTTTTTCAACTGGCTTATTTCGCTTAGCATAATGTCCTCAAGGTTCATCCATGTTGTACCATGTGTCAGAATTTCCTTCCTTTTTAAGGCTGAATCATTTAAAATTTTTTATTTTTTTTTTATGGTTTTTTATTTTGGTTCTTTTGTTCTTTTGTCCTTATAAGTTTATCATTTTGTTTTATTTTCCCCGTTCCTTTAGCCATTATTTTAGTACAGTTTCCGGAAGTGGAGATAAAGTTTTGAGTCCAACCTAGTCCTTAATAGGAAAATCATATTCTATTTATGAAATGTAGCATTTAAGGACATGTTCTCTGTTGCTTTTGACAATCTCTTTAACTTTGCAAGACCCCTTAAGGAGAAGAGAATAATAAAGTTGCATTTAATCCTCATTTAGCCAAAGAAAAATTTATGCTTTGATGTTAAGCAAAAAAGTTACTTTAAGCAGTTGTGTTTTTACTATGAGTGTAAACTCTTTCCTGGGAAAGTTAATGTAGTGGATCTCAAGGTTTGGTCCCCAGACCTGCAGCAACAGCATCACCTGGGAGTTTGACAGAAATGCAAATACTCAGGCCCCACCTCATACCTACTAACTCTGAAAATCTGGGGGTGGGGCCAGCAGCTGTATTATCACAGGCGCTGCAAGTGCTTCTGATGCTTGCTAAAGTTTGAGAACCACTGGTCTTCTAGAGGCAACGCTTCGCAAAACCGCATCTAGAGATTAAACATTTTGTTTAGTCTTACTCCAAATGTTTACAAGATTTTCAGGCTCTGAGGTGACCATCTTTCAGCAGACAAGTTGTGAGGCACCCCTACCACCTATAGTGCCCATCTGCGGGACTTTTCTCTCTGCTGGAGAGGAAGGCCTTGTCCTGTATTTATACTACCTGACCACTTCCTTACCCTGCACCCCACTGGCCACACTGACTGAACCAGGAGAGGACCCCTCACTCAAGGCCAGCCAGTCCACTAGATGGTCAGGACCAACTAGCTGGATCCTCTCTCGAGAATATGAGCTAGAAACACGAGACCATAGTCAGTGCTGAACTGCTAAAGGTATAGAAAACTGAGTGATGGCCACAGTGGCCCTGTGCAAGCACAGCCCCTGTGTCCTTTCAAAAAAAAGTAGCCCCTGCCTACTTTTTTTTCCCTTGAGTGGGTATACATTTTTTGCACCAAAGAGACTTGATCAGGATACATCTTAACTATTGATAAGAAATGCCGTATGATTGATTGGTCGTAGTTAGTATTATCCATTGTAAAGCTTGCCCAAACTATTGGCTTCTCCATGCTCTTGTCCTCTTTTGGAACTGTGTATAAACAAATTGATGTCTCTGTCCAATATGTGTTTAATTCCCCATATGTGAAAACACATTTGGTAGCGCTCTTATTGCATTCCAATGCTGAACACTTGGAGTTCTTTTGCAATTGCTTCTGATTCTCTGAGAAACTAGTGCAAATTGCTTTGTAAATCAACAACCAAAGAATCAATATCCATGATGTTCTTTTAAAGAATTTGAAGATAAATAGCCCCCATAAGCCACTGTCACTGTACTCCAAGGTTCAAAAGGAAATATTCTGAAAATGAAAGCAAAGGAAATCACACAATATTACCAAAATGGTTATGTGGTAGTGAATAAAAGCCAGAATATGATTTGAGGAGTGAATGTTTGTTCTGAGAACAATATTAACATAACAGGAATATCAGGATCAAGCTTTACTTTTTCAGGTCACGGTTATTGATTTAAGAATTTATGCAAACAAAAATTGTCATCAGAGAGTTGTTTGCAAAAATGTTTTAAATCCAACATGTCTTCTTTTAATATTATACTATTGTAGAATATCCCAGGATGGGAGAGACCATAAAGGTCATCTAATCCAATTATGCATTTCCTGCTTGACTCACTTCTATACCCCTAAAGAAATGACAGCCACACGACCCTGGCATTGTGGTTGATGACGGAGCTGTCTACCATGCCTCATACAGTAAATCTACAAAAAGGAATCAATGCATTTTGAAAACACAAAATATAGGATGCTACTTTGAAATATGGCTTTTGTAAGTGTTTGGAAAAGTAGTGCTTTTTTCTTCTGTTATTCATGGGGGAAAGGGTGTTAAGCATTGTGGCAGACACTATTTATTGTCCCCAGAATTGGTTGTCCGTAATCTACAAATGTCTGGTTGGCACATGACAGCTCAAAATAAAGCTTACATTCCCAAGCTTTCCTTACAGCCATGCGTCTCGGTTACTATTGCTGTGTAACAAATTACCACCAAGCTTAGAGGCTTAAAACAACCTTTGTATTATGCTCACAGATTCTGTGGGTCAGGATTTGGAACAGGGCATCACGGGGCTGGCTGCTTCTGTCATGCGATAGTGACTTCTATCAAAGCAGTCACAAGCCCATCCAGATTCAAGAGGAGGGGAATTAAGACTCCAGCTCTTGATGGAGGAGTGGAAGGTCACACGCAGAAGAGCACATGGGACAGGAGATATTTTTGCAGCCACCTTTGGAAAACGCAATCTGCCACACTATAGGTGTGGCCATCCTAAGTTCTGGCCAAGAGGACATAAGAGGAATTAGTGTGTTTAACTTTCTGGAAGTGTCCTTAGGGGGCGGATGTGTGTTTTGGGGGGGTGGGGAGAGGTTCCCTTCTCTTTTCCACTTTCCTCTTGGCTGAAATATGGATGAGACGACAGGAGGTGGGGCAGCAATTTTGGACCACAAACTGAGGATTCCGGAGCTATGAGCTGGAAAGAGCCTGGGAGCCTGATGACCATGGGAGCACCTGGCCATTCCTGCCCTGTTTACATTTACATTACAGAGAAATAAGCTGCTATCTTGTTTAAGCTACTGTATTTTGCATTTTCTGCCACATGCAAGCAGTGGTAATCTTAATAAAGACATCATCATTAATGAAGACAGATCAATGCTAATCTTAAAAACATCATCATAAATGTAGACAGATGATGCAAATTCATCTTAAATTACTGGAGCTATAAAGACAATAATGCCTATATGGTTTATATAGTGCTTATATGATTGGAGTTTGACTAATATTGTGGGCCATGCAGTGAGGATCACAGTATTTTATAAAAGCTTACATCTTAAAATGCTTGACACTTACAATTAGAAGTACTTTACTATATATAAAGACAACATATTATTATGAGGTTGATAAGAAACGAAAATAAAGAAAACATTCACTCATGGAATGAATACAAATTGGATTACAAACAAAGGGTTTATATCAAGATGTATTTTTATTGGTAAGTGCCGCACAACAAATGGTGCATTTGTTTCAATAAACAGTAGTAAACGCACAAAGTGGACAATGAAATAGTATCAGTAAGGCAAAACATCATAGACTGGATGGAGAAAGGCTGGAGAAAACGTGGCGAAAGAAAAAGAAAGGTGTCACAAAGATGGAGCATTATGCCCAAAAGAGAATCAGTGCCATCATATGACTTTAAACAAAAGACATTACCAACCCTTATCAATAGATTCTCGGAGGAAAATAAAATGCCGCTACCGAGGTGGGGGCTGAAGTTTCATGGCAAATCGCGCGGCACCAGCTCGGCGTGGGTTCCCTGTGGTTAATGACAGGTGGGAATTCGGCCGAGCGGCCCGCCCGCTCCGGGGAGTGCGGACAGGTGGACGGCGAAACGCGCCTGGAAGAGGGCACCCGGGTAGTGTGGAGCGGCCCCCCACGCCCCCGCTGCGCGCCGGAGCAGCATTCCCCGCAAGCCCGCCGGCGCCCGCCACCGTCTTCAGCCCGGCAGCAGCCCGAGCGGCGGGTGC